GTAAAAATAAACTTCCTTAGGGACATTTCTACAGTCTTTGTAGGATGAAGTAGTCACAGTCAAGCAGACGCTTATGAGCAGGAGAAACACTCTTGTCTGAACACGGCACCCCACTGACAGTGGGAGCTAACTACCAAGATCAATCTTCACCTGCTAGCCTCCTCCTGAGTCTGTAAGGCGTGGTGGACACAAATTCATTCCTTTTACTCTGTAACAGCAAAAAAAGATCCATGTATTAGAAGTCACATATGCCTCCCAAAAGCCAAGCAGAGTAGAGACAGGTTTCATTTCCAAGCTCTTTCAGCCCACAAGAACCTGGGAGAGCAGCAGCAGTAAGTCAGGAGAGTTCTTTTTTGCCATCCATAACCACAGGGGGGCAGGAGCAGGTTCCAAAGAGGGCTTAATTCTTTCAACTAAATGCCCTGAATGGGAGGGTGGAAAACTGCTGAATTTCCCACCAAGACACTGGCCCCTCAGGATGTGTCAAACCAAAGCACTGCCAAACTGGAGACACTTCTGCTCGACTTAGCAGTCATCTTCCACATCACGCTGTCTATTCAAAGCCATTTGGAGGTCCAGTATGAAAACAATTACCAAAATGTCAGCAGACCACTTGAAATATGAAGCCCAGAATGAGCAGAGAAAAGGGAACAGAGTTGCCTGGGCTCACCAAGCCATAGTGTCACATCTTCGTTGTACACACGTAAAGCACGTGCCTGACTTAGACATCAGATCATGTTTACAACAACTAATCTAAATAATAAATAAATAATCTAAATAATCTTCATTAATCTTGTCTCAGCAAGAGACAAATGTGGCATTCCAAAGTAGCACGTCTGGGCCGGCCTCTCTCATACTGGAGCCTTATTCTGGAAGCGTTTTGCACACACTTCCAGTGTGATGCTACGCCACTTTAGAAAGCCAACTGTTTCACAGCACTTTGTTCATGGCAACCACAACGGGCAGGTCTGAACTGTACCATCTCTAAAGAAGATACCAACTTCCAGGATGTCTCCCCTGGTATCACAATTCTTTTTTTTTTTTTTTTAAATAAACCAATGCTAAAGTAAGAAACTGAACAGCACCATGATTGTTGAATTTCTTTTACAACAGCACTGCTATCCTTAAGATTCAGGCTGTTTCTTCTTTTGATGAGAAACTGGAAAACTGGGAGTTGAACTGCATATTAAAGGACTGGCAAATATTCTCATTTGAGCAAGGCAAGGGAATAGTCTCCAACCATGCTAATTAGGCTGTCAAACCTGTTGATTTGCACATTCACTCTAAATCTCATAATCCTGATTAATGGCAGCTCTGGTGGCTCAGTTGAATTACTCCCTGCTTGCTTGGATTAAGAGAGACATCTGTACTGTGGGTGAGGCTCTTCAAGATCCCTCCTCTCCAACACTATAGTAACTAGTCAGTTCAAGCGCTGAAAGTGAAAAAACAAGCAAGAAAGCGTCACTCACCTTCTGCTGCGCTTTGCTCAAATGTTCTGCAAGACAAGAAACAGCGTTGTTCAGAGTATCACGAATTTCCAACAGTGGCACAAGATGAGCCATTAGGAAAACAGGCAGCCGCTATCCAAATATACACTACTCCAGAATATCAGCTCCCTGGCTGATTAGTCCTATAGCAGGAACTTTTACCTCCCCACAGGAAAGCAAGGGAATAATGAAGACAGTCAATGCTCTCACCACAGAAGACAGATTTGGTTCTAGTCACCGCTCCAGAGCCACCGCTCTGTGGGAGGCCACTAGCAGGAGGGAAGATGCTGAAAAAAGAGCTAAATGTTCTTCTGTCCATGAGCTCATCCGACTCCATTTCTGAACACAAGGCAAGTTACTCTTGCTAAGGCTGACCTGCACTGACTTCTCCCACCTATATTTCTCCTTATAGCAGTGAGTGTTTGAATGCTACGCAAGAAAGTATAAAGTTACACATGAACATTCACACAGTCCTACCCATTTGATGCTCACTCAACAGCCCAGCTCATAACTCTCTCAAGTGCAAGCATTTGGGTTTAACATAGAAGAAATCAGTTAAGTGACACAGCAAAAAATGAGACAGAAGTTCCTGTTTTTCTCCAGGCCAGCAGCACATAATAAAAGATGTGACATCCAGGTGAACTAGAGGCCATGCACACCAAACAGTTCACTGCAAAGTTACGCTGACTAAAATATCCAGGCGCGACAGAAGCTGGCACCCAGGCATCCGCTCCACCACCCAAGCAGAAACATAACCCCTAGCCACCCAGCTTCAGTTCCCCAAAGCATCAGAGGACTTACTGCTGCTTTGAGGGGATTTGACTGTCTTCTCAGGGCACTCAGTGCAATCAAGCGCCACACTCTGTCCTGGTGTCCGGGCTAATTCAAAGGCTGTAAAAAATGGGGGAAAGGGAAGAAGTTCCATGCATCAGAAACAAAACCCCCAGCTCTGGCTAGTCAGCCACGGAGTCATATACCTGAAATAGTCTCTCTCAGTATTCATTTCCCAGCTAGTTCAGGTACTCTACCAGATGCTTCCATTTTTTTTCTAACCCTAAAGAGGAATATTGTACTTGGAAAAGATTCTCAAAAACCAAACTCTTCATTCATTCCACAGGCACAGTTGAGGCGGTGGCAAAGTAGCTTTGCTTCTGCGGGTACCATCTGTCTTCAAATTACAGCAATCTCTGGTCATGCCCTCTCAGCTCTTTATAACTGTTTGACTGGACACGGTGGAGCAGCAGGTATAGCAAACACATTAATCCCTTAGAAGCTGGGTTCTCGTATTCAATCCACCTTTTTCTATTACTTAGCAGCACAAGTTGAAGTTGAACCACTGACCTGAATATGAAAGGCCCAATATCAGTCCCTCAAGAAAATCAGTCTCCCACTGTATGACTTGCCTGATGAGTTGCAATCTATTATTTTCATATCTATCAAGCTCAATTTCCATCCTCTTTAACCCTCTCCAGTCTCCAAACCCCATCATCTCTCTAGCCATCTCCAAACCCCAACTGCAGCCTTCTAGACTGAAATACACTGCAGCTTAGTTGTGGGGTGTCTCCTGAAAGGGGAGTGCACTAACCCCCTACCACTTGCCAGGAAGGTTCATCATCATGGTATGGATAAGGAGCTTCAAGCAGCAGTTCTCAAACTGAGTCATGGGTCCAGCAGGGAGCACCAGGGAAATATACCCTGGGGGAGAAGGGCATAAGAAACAAACCTCCCTGAGACACAGCGGAAGTACAGAGGAGAAGTGAAGAGGCATGGAAACCACAATTTCTGTGCACTGATAAAGAGGAATAATCCCTCTTCCCTGGATCATCTTCTGTAGGATTTATCAGGTTCAGGTGGTGCTGAGCATATGGAGACTCTTCAGGTGAGAAGGAGAAATGTGGAAGCAACGGGGCCCGAGCATCTTGTGTGAACCTAAGCACCCCACCCTCCCCAGCAGTGTCCCTTTCTGCTTCCTTCTCCCAAGTCTCTAGTTAGCCTAGCAAGCACACTCTCAGACACTCTGGGAATGAGAAAGCCCTTTCCACGCACAGTTAAAACTGCTTCTTTTTCAACTCTGTCTTTGCTACGTAATGAGCTATTCTCATTTCCTTCTACAGTCACACAAACAAAGCCTCTACCATCCATACACATAGACTCTTCTCCCAGCATTAAGAAATTACTACCTTTTCTTATGCTTCCTGCTTTTAGACAAATATGCCTGCTATCCCCTCAGTACAGCCTCAGCTTCCTTCTGGTTTCATCTTTTTCTTCCTCCCACCATACAGAACACCAAAACCTGACACCTCTAGAACACTTTGCACCATCCCTTTTCTCTTCAAATTATTCCATTTTACAAATTAACTTGAATTCCATAAAAATTCACATTTTTCTCATGTTAAAACGGATTCAACCCAAAACAAAACAAAACAAATTGAAAAAGGAAAAAGACTGAAAAAATAACAAATGAAAAACACTGGTTTTGCAGTCTTTCATTAGATCATATTCCTTTTTGAATTAAAGGAGGACTATAAAAGTTTGAATGTTTCTGAAAGTATTGCAGGGGCTAGATCTTCAACATAATTTGCTAGCAGAGTAAAGTTTGGCACTGCCAAATTTCATAACAGTTACTCAGTTTCTATTCTATCAACAGGTCTCCTCTGTGCTTAGGTCACTAATAACTTTGTTGTTCACTTTTATTTTTACCCTATGTAACACATAGATCTCTTCCATTATTGCACAGCTATACTCTTTCTTTTGCTGCTAAACTTAAGATTTCTTTCAGCATAAGCTTCTCACAGGGCTTTCTATACTGCTTAACAGGGTACTGTTACCAGCATACAGATTAAGTCAGCAGTTATTTCAACTTTTACTTCAAAAGGAGGAAACTTTCACACAGCAGTCAAGCTTCTGGACAGAACTGCTCTAGTCCATAGGGCAGGTGTACACATCTCATTAACATCACAAACATGGAGTAACTCTGCATATGTAAATTAATGGTTCTGTTAAAATTAATACCTAATGCTTTTCAATGTTTACTAGGAATTGCAAGTCACCTTTTCGTTGCTATTTTTATTTGCATGCATGTTCACAGCAGTAAGACGAGGAGCCCTTACTATACAGAAAATAAGACCAGCATCCCCCAGATCAAACTGTTCAAGCAACATCAGGTTAGAACACCAGTCATAAGAATCTGACAAGTACAAAATAACATCAAGTCTGCATCACAGCCCCCAACATGCTTCCGTTATGTCCAAACCCCAAGCTTTTGCTTCTGGGCAAGACTGATCTAGAGCCAAATAAAAGCTCCTTCAATAGCCCAAACATATCTTCTGAATGCACAGATATGACAAATCATGTTAACAAGGGTACTCAAGAAAACAGCAGCCAGAGCAATGATGAAAGAAGAAAGAGGAAAACATACCCAGCTCTGCCATTTTGCTGGAGCGTTTTGGAGTCTGAAATGAGTAAACTTCACCACCACCTACACCTGAGCCATTTCCCATGGAATCTGTGAAAAGAAACATTACTTGTAGCTATTCAAAAAGCACTGGTATATTCCTAGCCCAAGGAAAACGGAATACTTTACTCTTGGGCTTAAAGGACTCCTTATATTAACAGGTATTATAAAATACAGATAATTAAAAATCTTAGAATCGTTATCCTCTCTCCTCTACCTCCTACCAGCAGCACAGCCAGACCTGGCCAGCCCTCAACATTCCTCTCCATTCCCCCATCAACAGCAATTTCATCAACATTGCACAGCTCAAACACTGTGAGAATCTCCTGAAGTCACAGCTGTGTTAGGTTCTTCCCTGCCAATACCTTGGGCACATATCCCAAGAACAGCAACATAGTTCTTCTCTTCTAGGATCTCCTGAACTTCATCATCCGAGATAGTCTCAAGCGTCTTCACAAATTTCTTCACGTTGACTGTCAGTTGAGTCTTATCCTTCCGAACTTTAATACCTAGAATTGCAATCCAAAGTGTTTACCGCCGGCTATTTCATTATTTCTATTGCAGTAGCATACAGTTACACCATTTAGAGACCAGGATCCTGTTGCACTGAACACTATACAAACGCAAACCAGAAAACATGTCCTAGCAGAAGAATAGCTGGTCTGTGCCAGAGTGGTAGGCTGACTGGGGCCATCAGTCCCTCCCATAACTGCTCCATCTCAAGCACAGCAAAAGCTGGCTGGCCATGATAGTCAGCTGTGAGGACCAGATCCTCATTTCAGCACACACCAGCCTCCCCAGTTTGGTACACAAAAGTGACAATGATTCCCACGTATAAGGGTCAAGTTGCAAACAAAGGGGATAGCCTTTGATTTCCTCTATCTTCCTTAAGAAAGAGGAGCAGGTCAAAAATATATAGCCTAGAGGCTTTCAGTACACTCATAGAAGAACTGATGCTGGAAGAGACCTCTGGAAGCCATCCAGCCTGACTCTGCGCTCAAAGCAGGGCCAACAGCCAAGTCAGATCAGGGTGCTCTGGGCCTTGCACTGACAAGTTTCAAGCACTTCTGCAGCTGGAGGTTCCACTCCTTAAAAGCGATGAAACTTGCTGCAACAGTCTCCTGTAGCAGCCACTTCGAGCCTCACTCTGAGCCGATTCTGTGCGTGTGTTTTTAAGCTCTTTGGGGCTTGAGAGGTTAGCCAGGCTGCTCGTACCCTCCTCCCTGAGGCCGTTATACACGCGTTCCGCTCAGCAGCCCGGCATCAAGACACACGACACCACCTCCACCTGGGGCACCTGTCACGGCGGAGCGGCCGCCCCTCTGCCTGTACCGGGAGGGGGGAGGGGGAGAGGGAGGGGACAGAAAAAACCGCGCAAGCAGAGGAGGGCTGAGCCGTCCCAGGTGCAGGATGAGGGCCGCGCTGCTCGCACCCCCCTCCCAGAGGAGCTGCGGGCGGCGCTGCCCCAGGCCGGCAGTACCTGCGCCATCCGCGATGTGCTTCAGGA